GGAGTTTTCCTTTTCAAAGTATTTGCTAAGGTTCTGTTTTTTAAGTAAACTGCCGGTTTTACTACTTCCGGCCAAAATTTTATGTCTAATTTTGCGTCAGATAATTCCTTAAGAAAATTACTAGGTGAATTTTTAACTTTTCAAATTCCCTAAGAAATCACTAGGTTTTTCAAAATCACTTAACTTGATTTTATCTAACTTATTTCTCACACGTATCTGCAATGCTGTTGGTTCTCTTAAGTAAGACTTATCTCATTATACGAGTTTGTTTCCTTATGAATCAACTCAAATTGATCTATAGTTAATGCACTGCATATGTAATTCATCGCTTTCAAATCTTTTTCTTCCCAAGCTGATTCTGATTCGTTTTGATTTTTTGTTTCTTGATTAATTACATCTTCACATTTTCTCAACCTCAAATTAATCGATATTCTCTTTTTCCACGAACTATAATTACTACCATCAACAATTAGTAACATGAATTTATTGTCGCACGCCATGTTGTTTTCTTCCTTTTCGATTTCAACTACTTTTAATATACACAGCACGTTTTTCAAAATTTTCAAACAACTCCTTCTCACGTAGTCTCTGTCTTCCTTTTTTAACTCAAAATTTGCACTGTTTATCTCTTTTATGATTTTTTCGTTGTCGATCTGTTGAGTTCTTTCTCTTCCTTGTATATTTTCCATTTACCTATACTTAATCATTGCCTTTACACTTCTTTCCACTAAACACGTGCCAAACTTCCTCTTTTATAAAACTTTTTAATTCTTTTGCGTCTCAATAAATTGTGCACTGAAAAACTTGTGAAATATATCACTGCACACGTCTTATACTAGTTTTTTTTAATACTTCACGTATTTTTTATCCATTTTTAATTTTAGTATTACTTACAAGTGATTGTACGTGCCTCCGAAGAGATACGTGAAAAATCAAAAAAAGAACGAAACAGGCAACTCAAACCATGGACGTCTGCTACCATGTTAAAAATAAATGAGCCAGGAAAAATAAATACTTCAAACATATCTTCTATAATATACTTGAATTTAATATAATTAACATTTCATATCCAACATAAGGCATCTTGCCTGATCAACGGTTATCTATACACTGAATATACGTATCGTCATCAAAAATGTTGAATCGAGAGCTCCTACACATGCTCAATGCCTAGAATCCCAGCGTCGCGGCGTAATTTCAAATTTCCTTATATTCTAACAATAGCAAATGGGATCATTAAGGTGTACAAAAAAAAATTTTTTTTTAAAGATTTTATAATGCACTAGCAGTACCTGGAAGTACGAGGCAATTTCCATCGACTTTCCTTTTATACTGCTCAGCCATTGAATGTCGGAATAATGAATAGGCATTGCACTGGGTTGTCGCTATGATGAAAATAAACGTCCCACAATTATTCAAAAGTGATTGAATAATAATAATTAAGTATAAAGTTATTAATGCATAATTATCACGATTTCTGTTCAATGATCACATAGATGTATTTTTGTTCAATACAAATTTTAAAATAGATATAACTATCTTTTTAATTATAAATTATTTGTTTATTGTTTAGATATTAAAAATAACGTTTTTTTCATCAATGATAAAATTTTTAATAACTCCAAATAGTTCAGTTATGAGAATAAAAAATTTTTTTTTTCAATTATGCGGTGTTTTAATCAGTTTTGAACCGTTGTGCGTCACTGGAATAAACATTTGTAATTTTACTATAAAGTTAAAGTAAACTGTCAATATTTCAGACCATCCCTCCAGAAAAGTTTTGCTTTCCACTGTAACCTGCGTATTTAGGATAGTTTATATGGTCCTACATGGACAGCAGCCGACACATTCGGTCCACCTTTCGATTTTTAAAAATCATACTCTGTTAAAAATGAGAGCAATTAAACACTTACGTGCATATGAGTCTACGAGTAGTATTTATTCATGGGAAGTTGTGTTTGCATGCATTTGCATGTATTATGTGCATTATTTATTCACTTGAGCAAGTACAAGTGAATATGCGCTCGTATTTGCATATGTATGGCCATGCATTGTTCGCACGTGAAGGAGTCTGCAAGTATTTAAATACATGTTTAGAGATGCTATATTATATCAAAGAGTGAAAGATAGGACTAAATGACACTTGAAAAAACATTTTTTTTTGAAAGGAAGGGTCCCCTCCATTAAGCACAGCAAAATGCCCTAAATTAAATCTTTTTGTTTTAACAGTGTTAAACTGTTTTTTAAGGCCTAAAAATAAAGGGTCAACTGGGTCCGAGACCAAAAAAATTTTTTCCCTTGCTAGGGACCACAAAAAACGTGTTTTTTACATTTCATTTCTTTTCTCGGTGTCTAAACATGAAAAAGATTTGAAAAAATTCAGCAGTATAGTAAATATTATTTCTTTTATATGGAATTTTTTTCAAGGTCATCCAAGTACAACATAACCTAAAAAAAAAATTTCTAAGCTTTAGATCGCAATTTTGACCATGATCCAATAGAGGTGCAGGCGACGTCATTCATTTATCTTGTAGAGCAAGAAAAAACACAACTTTCACGTATTTTTGAAATTTTTTTAATTGGTGTGACATAACCTGAAATTCGAAAAACCAATTGATTTTACGTTCTTTGGCTACTTAAAAGCCTCCTTTAATTCTAATCGGAATTCTAATATCCATAGTAAATTTTGCAGAGAATATAACTTTAAAAAATGCGTTACATTGAAAAATTTTTTTTTTCTAACCTTCACAAAATGAAAAATTACAAAAAAAAAACGACTATTTGTTTCTTATCTTGGGTTCTTACAATCCAAAGAATTTAAAAAAACTTATGTGTATAGAAAATGTAGATTCTCTCGCGTAGAATTTTTTCCAAGGTCACCCACGGTCGACATAACCTCTAAAAAAATTATTTAAACTTTGAAACGCGATTTTGACCATGATCCAATAAAAGTGCAGGCAAGTTGATATTTTCATCTTCTAGAGCTGGAAAAATACAACTTTAAAATAGTTTTTCATATTTTTGTAGGTGGTGGAACAAACCTAAAAATCCTAAAAACCGTTTTTTTTACCTGATTTCAGCATGTCATCCATTTTATCGGTTTTTAAAAGACTGATTCTTGATGGATTTATATTTTTGCGACAAATTGTACTTTCTCAAATTTTTCAGAGTTTTTCAAGGGGTGGAACTAACCACAAAACTCAAAAAAACGTTTCTAATTTATTCTAGCATACCTTTCTTTGTGTTACATAACATTTGCGGTATTGCCTATAACACATGACAATATTCACTTTTTGTACGTTCCCGTTCTTACAAATTCCCCTAAAAAACGTATAGCCATATAGCATAGCGAGACGAAATATTTGGAACATATAATTCATCCGTTTGTACGTACGAACAATAGAAGTATTAGAATATTGCAAGCGATCCCCATCTTACTCTGTACTGTGCGATACTGCCACGTGCGAGAGAGAAAGCTGCAAGAAGGCCCCCTATTACAACATGTCTAATCATATATATAGGTATAGTGTACAGGTTTCTCAGGAGGCTTTCTCGCAGCTTTTCCTTTCGCACGTGGCAGTATCGCACAGTACAGAGTAAGATCGGGATCGCTTACAATATTCTAATACATCTATGGTTCGTACGTACAAACGGATGAATTATATGTTCCAAATATTTCGTTTCGCTATGCTATATGGCTATACGTTGTTGAGGGAATTTGTAAGAACGGGAACGTACAAAAAGTGAATATTGTCATGTGTCATAGGCAATACCGCAAATGTTATGTAACACAAAAAAAAGGTATGCTAGAATAAATTAGAAACGTTTTTTTGAGTTTTGTGGTTAGTTCTACCACTTGAAAAACTCTGAAAAATTTGAAAAAGTACAATTTGTCGCAAAAACATAAATCCATCAAGAATCAGTCTTTTAAAAACCGATAAAATGGATTACATGCTGAAATCAGGTGAAAATAACGGTTTTTAGGATTTTTAGGTTAGTTCCACCACCTACAAAAATATGAAAAAATATATTAAAGTTGTATTTTTCCAGCTCTAAAAGATGAAAATATCTACTTGCCTGCACTTTTATTGGATCATGGTCAAAATCGCGTTTCAAAGGTTAAATAATTTTTTTAGAGGTTATGTCGACCGTGGGTGACCTTGGAAAAAATTCTACGCAAGAGAATTTACATTTTCTATACACATAAGTTTTTTTAAATTCTTTGGATTGTAAGAACCCAAGATAAGAAACAAATAGTCGTTTTTTTTTGTAATTTTTCATTTTGTCAAGGTTAGAAAAAAAAATTTTCTAATGTAACGCAGGTCTTTTAAGTTATATTCTCTGCAAAATGTACTAAAGATATTAGAATTCCGATTAAAATTCAAGGAGGCTCTTAAGTAGCCGAAAAACGTAAAATAAATCGGTTTTTCGAATTTTAGGTTATGTCACACCAATTAAAAAAATTTTAAAAAATACGTAAAAGTTGTGTTTTTTCTTGCTCTACAAGATAGATAAATGACGTCACCTGCATCTCTATTGGATCATAGTCAAAACTGCGATCTAAAGCTTAGAAAATTTTTTTTTTAGGTTATGTTGTACTTGGATGACCTTAAAAAAATTCCATATAAAAGAAATAATATTTTTTATACTGCTAGATTTTTTCAAATCTTTTTTATGTTTAGACACCGAGAAAAGAAATGGAATGTAAAAAACACGTTTTTTATGGTCCCTAGCAAGGGAAAAAATTTTTTTGGTCTCGGACCCAGTTGACCCTTTATTTTTAGGCCTTAAAAAACAGTTTGACACTGTTAAAACGAAAAGATTCAATTTAGGGCATTTTGCTGTGCTTAATGGGGGGTACCCTTTTAATAGTTTGTATCGACATTTGAGACTGAAAAATATGAGTGTATTAATACAACATAATGCTCAATCGAATAATCATAAGCAGAAAATCGATTGTACAAGCAACTTTTACTCCTTCAAAAACAATTTTGAGCTATTTATTCCATTTCTTCTATTTCGTCCTTAACTTCTCTACTGACTTTTAGATGCATATCTTTCTCTATCTAAAGACACACAATATCCTTATGGTAGAGACCCTGTCGAAAAATGTAAGATTACTTAACTTAAGTTAAACTCGTGCAGGAGAAAAAAATTTTTTTCTTGTTTAATTTACAGCAGAGAAAAGCTAGCCAATAAACACGTAAAAAATAAAAATATTGAATCAGAGGCTGTAGCTCGTGAGTAGGTCTTTAATTACATTTAATTGTAAAAATATTTTAATTGAGACAAGAAGTTAACTATGCTAAAAGATCAATTTCAGAGATCATGCATCTAAAGTGTTATTTAAATGAATTAAATATAAGAGAAACATACATACGTTTAATAAATACTGTTAATTACTATTACCAAAGTTCAAACAGTAAAAGTTTACTGACTAGGTTATATATTTATCCTTTTATAATGTTTTATTCGCGAGTACTTAAACAGACCACACCATCAATTATTGAGATGGTTACACATATGTATAGAAAAGACATGTAAGCAAACGAATGCCAACGATTTCTGTACTTTTTCTCAATGTAGATTTATCAACATAATAATTTTTTTTAAAGATCTATTATCACTTAAACATTTCAAAATAAAATGTTAATAAATCACAGTAATAATAATAAATTACTACTAAAATAATATGCTTCCAAAAATTATAAGGGACAGATAAGCGAAAAAATAAAGCATTATAAGATTACGATGAAAAGATACATTAAAATGTCTTAGTTCCTAAATAATACGTTTTTTTGCTACTTTGGGCGTTTTCTATTTTTGGACACTCACTGCGCCTTCAGTGAGAAGAGAAAGGCTCACATCTAGTCGCATTCAACCAGCAAAAGTACAAGGCATCGATCAGACTTTGCTTCGCAGATTTCTTGGGCTTAACGATTGCCATAGCAACATGAGCCACTACTAATAAAAACTATTCAGAAGAGTTAATTACACCGTAAATCATGTGTTACTACAGGTAATTTTCTAAATGTACCATCAAATAGAGTTTAAATCAGTTTCTTGAAAAAAAAGATGAATCAAATTTTGACAAAAAAGTTTCAACTATTGTGGCATAACGTACGGTAATACTTGTACAGTATTTCTATTAGAACTGCTAACAAAGTTACTTTATTTCATACACTACTTTACCATACACAGCTTTAACATTACCGATAGCCACGAATGATCAAGAACATCTTCTGCACTAAATCTCAGTTCCGGTTGAGCTTGTAGCATATTTAAAATAAGCTCTTTGGCTGATGATGAGATGCTGTCCCAATACGGCGAAGTGAATTCATACTGTCCACAGAGAATTTTTTCAAATAATTTTTCTTGTTCATTATCCGTAGAAACGAAAGGTGGAAAGCCACATAAAAGTATGTACAAAATGACACCAGCAGCCCAAACATCAATCTGCAAATAATACACAAATGTTAACTATTCAAAAACTTCTCCATAGATACATAATCATAAGTACTAAAATAGAGCATTTACTAATTTATGACATCGTATACGTATAAACTAGTAGTAACCTTTACTAAAGCAAAAATGTAAGTACATAATGCATAACATAACAGATTTAAAGATTTAATATTTACTTTTAACAAGTTTATAAAGAGTAAAAGGGCCTAGCCGGATAAGGGGGGTAAGACTGCCTAAGCTCTAAAAAATTTGAAAAATTCATGTATGTAGTGTACTGCAAAAAAAAATTTTTTCAACTTTTCCAGACTCTAATCAACTTATGAGTTCACTGTAGGTCATAAATAGTGAATTTCGGTTTTTTAAAGATATCTCCGCTATTTCTCGACCAATCCTAAAAATTCTTATTTGAAGTTTAAAACAAAAATAATTCATATCAACTAAAAATTTTTTAAAAATTTTGACGCCAAATTCAAATTTTGGGAAACATTCAAAATTTTGAAAATAACGTACTTCTGAGAGTTTTATGGGTACAGACTCGAAAAAAAGTTAAAAATTGTATTATATTATATTCTATTGCTGTGAATTTTTCCAGATTTTTTAAGACTTGATAACTTGAATAAAAAAAATAAAAACCGTTTTTTCACCCATTTTTTCGCTATAATGACTTTAATATGCCTCAAATGAACTATAGAAAACATTGATATATTTTTTAGCACTTTATTTAAACTATTTATACTTTAGAATACTTTAT